ATGTGAATTTTAACATATATTTCAATTAAAGTATTACTCTCTAGAAAATAAACTGCTAAGAGCTCAAAGGTATTTTCGGAGAAAATCAAGCTCTCAACAAAATTAATTGATAAAATTGTAGGAATTAGTTGATATTCAATAAATAGTTGAAATATGTAATAAGTCAATAGTAAACTTAATTCTAAATTGAGGGCATATACAACTCAATCACTGTTCTGAAGGCTTTTTAAATGTAATTTCTGTCAAAATACCAGTTTGTAAATTTTACTTATAAAAGTCAAATAATTTGAGTAAATCTACAAGTGATTTGTTTCTTGCCAGATAATATTTTGAAGTTATTACTTATATGTATTCATATGTATGCATATATGTGTGTGTATTTTTAAAAATATTATTTACCTTTAAATTCATCGAGACAATATTTATAATTAGTGGATTATCTCATTCTCAAATTTCTTTAAGCATAATAGAAAATCAAAAATAAAATTTATTAGTTGATTAAGTTTCATTAGCATTTATAGAACATTTTTTTTATCTCTAGAAAAATATAACTTAGAGAAAGGATACATATCTCTCAGGTGATTTGTCATAGTGGAAAATACCTTAGTACCTGAAAGCCAGGAGCTGAAATTTTAGGAGTCATAAGAAGCTGTTGCAATCAATCTTTATTTTGCAAAGATAATAATCAGCTCACATTTCATGTTTGGGGTTTATAGACCAGAAAATCTGTGAGCAGAAGCAAATTAGAAGACAGTAAGATCTATCATTTTGGAAAATTTGTTTTATATGATTAGTCCAATCAGGTAAACATTGGAAGGCTTCACTTTTCATTGCAAAACACAAAATGTGTAGAAGCATATAAGGATCCAGAAACAGATTAATAAAAATACCTAATAAGAATAAATTATATCAGAAAACCAATAGTAATTACAAAGAAAAAAGGTTTATTTGTTGAGCATAGGTGAAGTTAAAACATTCAGTTTATTGAAGGACATCAAAATAAACATAAAAGACCCTCTCAATTGCAGCAGAAACGGGCAAATGATAAGAAAGGTTGGTGGTTTGCTGCAGTCTTTGGTGTTCCTTGGATAGTGATGCAGTTACTCCATCTTCACATGGCATCCACCTCTATGTCTTTCTGTGTTTCCCAATTTCCCTTTTATATCAGCACAATTAATTCAAACTGAATTAAAGCCCATCGTAATGACCTCACTTTAGCTTGATTGCTTAGGTAAGGAGCTTATTTCAAAATAAGCCCATATCCTACGATACTGGAGCTTAAGACCTCCATATATAGCTTCAATATTGTATGAGGACACAGTTCAACCCATTAAAAAGCCATTGCTGATCCGGAAGTCTTTCCTACACTGTTCAATTGCAACCTTCACCCTCCATCACTTTTCCCAGCCCCTCTCAATCCAGAAGGATTCTCCTTTGGAGACTGATGAACAACCTAATCCGATTTCCTCCACTCACTGCCTTCACTTGACCTGGCCCTCATGTCACTTGTCACATCTGTAATTTGCATTACTGTGGGATTATGTGATTATATTCTGCTTTGGTCTGGGTGTGATTTGACCTCCAGGGGTTCCTGTGTTGCAAGCTTGGTCCTGATATGGGGGTGTTAAAAGGGATGGAAACATAAGTTGGTGGAGACTAATGGAGCAGGGTTAGGTCAGCAGCTATGCCCTCAGAAGGAATTAGTATAATTTTCCAGGGCCCTCGAGCAGCTCTTGTGAAATCGAAGTGTGCTGAACTGGCACTCTGGCTTCCTGTTTTGCCTTGTGATCTCTCACTGTCACAAGTGCTCCTGCCACAGGGCTGCCAATACCCATCAGGGGAGCTGTCTGTGAGCCTCCAACACTGCAAGATAAATAAACCTTTTTTCTTATAAAATACCCAGCTTCAGTCACTTTGTTATAGCATCAGGAAATGGACTAGTTCAGAATCTCTCCTCACAGACCATGAGCCCTAGGAAGGCCATTTTTGCTCACCATTGTATGATTACATGTTTGGAATACCGCAGTAAGCTTTCAATAAATGCTTTGTTGAGTCTGTGAATAATTGATCAGACCAGGTATGGTAAAAATGGCAGTATTTTTACTCTCACTAAAACATGATTTTGTGAGAACATAAATTGTGTTTAATAATTAAAATAAAACATTACCCTGCCCATCAAGAAATAATTTATCTAATATTAGGATAACTGGCCAAAAGAATCAACAAGAAATCGGCCATTTACTTTGAGTTACTTATGCTAGAGGAGCTGAACGGACTCTTTTTAGTTGTATAAAATCATCTGAATAAATGTGCAAATTGCGTTTATGAACTGCTAGGGTAAGCAAAAACAAAAGATTATTATAGAATTGAGGAATATCCAGTTAAGTATTACAGCAAAATTTATTGATAGTTTCCAGGCTTGGCTCTGAAAACAACCATAAACCGTAAATCAACATATTGTGGCAAATGTAATGTGAGTCATCAGCAGCAGTGGCGGGAACAGAAATGCCAACTTACAGCTCCTGCTTCTATATATTTGACATTTTAAATATTACTCATAAATGCTTTTGGATTCAAGAAGCGAAACACTACTTCTGAGTAGGACCTGGAAGGTCCTACCTTGTGTCTTTTTCTTTCTCTTCCACAATTCTTTACATGACTGGTTATGTTCAAAATTCATAATTTGTGTCCATCTAGACTTTGAAGCCTGAAAGAACTGATTTGAATTCGAGTTCTTTCCTTTACCAAAATAGAAGCTCTACAAGGATTTTCTGTTTCTACAGTCATTAGGAATAATTTATTTAATCTCAAACCTCAATATTTTTCTGTAAAATAGAGATAATATCATTTGATTGTTGAATTATTTTGATACTAAATATATATAAAGTGTCTGGACATGGTTAGCAATCAAGAATTGTTGCTAGTATTATCTTCACCAACATGAGCCTGAGAGGTGAGTTTTAAATAGTCTTGTATTTCAAACGTGTGCATTATATCTTCATTGTATAGTTTGCTTTGTTTTCCTAAAACAAAGTACTATTTTAATAATAGTGTTTTCATTTTATGATATATTTTATTTTTGTATTTTAAATTTTTTTTTTTTTGGTACTGGGGATCAAACTTGGGTCCTTGTGCTTGCAAGGCAGGCATCAGAACCACTGAGCTAAATCCCCGGCCCTCTATTTTAAATTTTACTGAGGTATAATTGATATACAAAAATTGTACATACTGGGGCCAGGAATATAGCTCAAGCATGAGTCCCTGAGTTCAATTCCCAGTACCAAAAAAAAAAGTTATACGTACTTAACATATGCATTTCGACTATGTATACAGTTGTGATAGAATCATCACAGTAATGACACAAAACATACCAATCACCTCCAACACACTTCCTTTGTTGTCTTTGAGGAAGGTGTTTGTTTTGTCTTACTTGTTTTTGTAGTAAGAACACCCACCCTGAGATCTAGCCTACTGTGAAGTCTACAGTACCATTCAGTAACCCTAAGTCCTATGTTGTACACCAGATCTCTACAACTATTTTTGTCTTGCGTAACTGAAACTCTATGCCCATTAAGCCACAGTTCCCCATTTTTTTCTCCCTTTCGTCCCTGGCAGCAACCATCTATTTGCTACGTCTGCGAGCTTGACTATTTTTCAAAGCCTCATATATATGGAAAAATCCTGGAGCTAAGTGAAATAAGCCAATTACAGAAGGACAAATAGAATTTTCTTATATCTAAGATTTATATTTGTCTATTAGCTAACACATATAATGAACTAAGAATATTTCTTTAGATAAATGGTGACTAAAGCTAATATTAAAAAGGGTTTATAATTTCCAATAAGTCTACTAAAGATCTAATTCTGCCTTACAATTACATAAACAAAGAGCAATAAACAAATTGACGAATTATCCTTTATATTATTTATTCTTACAGTTAAAATGCTTTAAACTTAAATGATATTCATTCTTTAATGGAAGTATAATCTTTAAAACTATTGCATAAATAAAAATATATTTGAAAAGCACAAAATGGCCAATAATAGAAAATAATTTAAATGTGATGTTCTATTGATAGAAATTTTAAAATTCATTCATTTTCTATATATCAGTTTTTCTCTAAACATTAATCTCCCAATTAATCATACTGCATCCAATTTAAAACTGAAGTTATTTATCTGAGATACATTGTTACTCTGTTTACCAAGGGAATAAAATTTGACTCTTCCTACCATATCCAGAGAATTCTCAACCTCCCTGAAAGTTGCGCTGCAATAATCACATATGTATTTTTCAAAGCCACAAATATACATTCCCATAAAAGCTGTGCTAAACATAGTTACATGCATGGATGTCGTGAAGCTTTGCATGATGCAGTGTGAATTCCATTTTGTGGCAAACAGGAAAGTACAGCCTCAGGCAAACTTGATTTATTCACCCTTATGCCACTCCTGCATTTCTCTTTCAGATGTGAAATGGATGTATTGAAGGTATACTTGATAAAAGACTTTTATCTTTGTCAATTATGTATTATCCATATTACACCTCCAAACGTTTCTTGTAAAAAGTCAGACAAGAAATGAAGGTTTGAGATGTGGAGCTAGTCTTTTTAAGCTTTCCTACTCAATTCAGCAGACATTTATGGTCTCTGACAAGGTGTTGTGCATAGTGCCACATAATCAATACCTTCTACTTACATTATTTCTGCTGATCTTCACTGCACCCCTAAGATGTGAGTGTTCTCATTTCTATCTTAAAAATAATGAAGCTGAGGTTCAAAAAGCTTCAACAAGTGTCAGAATAAGACTTGAACCTGGGCCTTCTAGATTTCCAAGACTATGCCTTGGTTCCCATTGGGTGCTCCCTGTGTATAGGCAGAGTCCTCATCAGCATGTTCACCAGGACAGAGTGGCTTCTATTTATTGGAACACCTTTGAAATCCCATCATTGTCTCCACTAATAAAGGAACAACAAACTGGTCTTGTTTGCTTTTATCCAGGTACATGGCCATTATTGATCCCTTGAAACCCAGACTCTCTGCCACAGCCACCAGGATCATCATTGGAAGTATCTGGATTCTGGCATTTCTACTTGCTTTTCCTCAGTGTCTGTATTCCAAAATCAAAGTCATGCCAGGCCGTACCCTTTGCTATGTGCAGTGGCCAGAGGGTCCAAAGCAACATTTCACGTAAGTTAATTCTCTATTATGATTCTCAATTCAGTTTATCAAACACTTAGGGAAATGACCGGGGGTGGGGGGGGATTAAGCAAATAAGTCACGGACATTTCCTTTGGGGCTCACAGATTACTTGGGAAAATAATCATGTAAAAATGCCGCAGTACAGTACGATGTGGTCAGTAAGTTTATATAAGTCGCAAAGGTTTTTAATTAGAAATGTGATGATTTCCATATGGAGTATCCTGGAGTTTCTGGGAAGAGGTGATAAAAGATGAAGTCAAGGTGCGGAAGGAAGCAGAGCTGATATTGACTGAGAAATGACGAGTCAGGGAATCCAAGTACAAAGTGTCCGTCACTCCCTTAGGAAGCCTGGCTGGAGGGGAGAGAAGGCCTGGTAGGCCTTGCAGTTGGGTTTTGGTCTCATCTGATTTGTGTTCATTTCTTTCACCATTAAAAAAAAAAACCCAAACACAAGGTTGGAAAATAAATAGGAATCCTGTGTGATGGAATTTGATATTTTGTATTTTAGACCCACCATAAGAAAAGCAAAAGGGAATAAAAAAGATCATAAGTATATTATTGATTATAATTTGTCTTATCACATGAAATCTTATTTCCATAAAATGTGTATTTTTCTATTTTCAGAACCTACTTTTTCCTTTTCAAATGGAATTGAAAATGGTTAGGAGTTTTTAAAAGGAGATTGGTATAAATATATAATACATAGCCTAAGACAAGTGTGAATTTTGTGTCAATAAAAATTTAAAATACATCAAAAATATATCAAAAATATAAGTGGAAGGATATTCCATAAAAAATTAAAATAACAGATGGTTCAAATAATGGTCATCTTTTAAGCAGTCATTTTAGCTAATTCTAGCCTCCAAAAGTCCAAGTTCCTGAAGAAAACAATTAGGAGGCACTTTTTGAAGGAAAATTAGACAGCAGTTATTAAACTAAGTGCTGTATTCTCTCCATTATTATTAATAAATCTCAGTTGTTTGATAGTATTACTGTCCTTACATTGTTTGTCAACTAAATTACTTCCCAGTGACCTTAAATCAATATTTAGTAAGCTACTATGAAACAGATAGGTAAGGAGATTTAAAATTCACCTTACAAAACCACACGTGTTAGTAAGACTATTATAATAAAGTCCTTAACTACTTTAAAGCCTTCCTAAGATAGTGGAAACCATGCAAAAGTTTATCAAATTCAATTTGGCTTTTACAGTGTGAGTTATGCTCCTATTTCTACACTGCAATCTTGTAATTTTGGTCAAAAGATATGGAATCCTAACATTTAATTCGATAATGACAGCATCATGTCTTCAATGTGACTAATAGGTCTCAGTTTATTTACCCAATAAACAGTGCCACCAAGTACAACCTGACCTTGGAAAAAGGCATGCAAGTATCTTTATCAGATTTTAAAATAAAAATATGATGTGTGTTATGTATTCAATATGGTTCCAGGTACCTACTTACCTTTTGTTGTTGTCTTGGTACCTAGTTATATTTTTTTAAAATTTGAGTGGAAAACAATTTATTTCAAGAATGTCTGATGTTGCCAGGTTATACAGACTAGTCTCACCTGGAAGAAAACATATGTCAGGGATTGTTCTGTCCCCCCTCCTTTCCTCTGATGTATATTTAAATACTTTAGCCCAACAGTGACTAAGCGGAGCACTAAGTGGAGGAAAGGAATTCGCTCTCAGTTCTGGGCAAAAGGAACTGGTACAGCTTAAAAAAGCGCTTCACCTCAGTATTAGTTTTCACATACAAAATAAAGATCTGCAAAGATCACTTGACAGCATTTAAAACACATAGATGACAAGAGCATGATGTTTCGGTAGATTTGTAAAATGAGCACATAGAGATAAAGCCAAGTAATCTCTGGCATTTTTATTATGATTTAAAGCTGAACAAACTCAAACTCAAGGTTGGTCTGCGCGTGTTTTCTTTGTTGTTGGTAGGTACCACATCATCGTCATCATCCTGGTGTACTGCTTCCCGCTGCTCATCATGGGCGTCACCTACACCATTGTTGGGCTCACACTCTGGGGCGGGGACATCCCGGGGGACACCTGCAACAAGTACCAGGAGCAGCTGAAGGCCAAGCGAAAGGTACCAGCTGACCTAGGGTGTGTGTGCCCTGTGGCACAGCGGAGCGAGAAAGCCTGGTTGTCCCATTTTGATGTTGTATCGTTTGATATTCTACTCCTACTTTTTTGAAATGCCTGTGTTTTATCATTTTATTCTCTTCCCATACTGTCTTTTTGTTGTTCTTGTCATTCTTCCGCAAACCACTGTCCAAGTATCATAGCAAAATTAGTCTCAGATAGGACAGTTACTTCCTTACAACGGGACTTTTTTAAATCACCTTTTGCAAAGTATTTTCAAGTGTTCTGCCTGAAGTTTCACACATTTTACTTTAAATGGTATCCCAGTTGATATTATTTCTGTAACTCTAGAAATCTTTGACTTTGATCAAAGCCAGAAGCTACTTTATCCTCAGCATGACATCTTTCCTAGCAGAGGCTATGATTCCTTACCATCTCTCCCTCAGATGTCCTCCTCTCTCCCTCTGTCTCTCTCTCCCTCTCCCCACTTCTTTCTCCATTCTTTCCCCTCAGTGGTCCACCACACGTATCTAATGAAGGGATGAGAACTGTACTGGTGCTATTCTGCATCTCAGTGAGTGATACAAAAAAAGCATACTTCTAATTCACATTAAGTAAGAAACTCTTAAAATGGAGTATTGATGTGTTATTACAATTATGTTGTGAAGATTTTTTCAACTACTGTTAGTGAGTGAGATTTTTCAGCAATGTGTGAAGTTGAAGAAAGATTGTTAGTCCACCTTCTGTCCAGTCAATGTGTGTCTGAAGCATACTGGAGAGGTTTGCCTAGGAGGACTAAGTCTGCAGTCACTGTCGTTTGCCCCATTTATGATTATTTTCTTTATGTAGAACTAGTGGCTCCCCATGGATGTATCCTTTAAAATGCCTCAGGAATCTTAAAACTACTTAAATATATGCACCCACTTACTAGTATTTCAATGAGGTTTCTAAAGTATAAGATAGCAAATAGATGCAACTTTAGTACAACGCTTTTCCCTGGCAGTGACAAATGAGGCTACGTAAGAGCTATGCGCACAGTATTTGATATTGATCATGAGCTCTGGTGGTTCACAGTCACATTACACAGTCACCAGTTTTGGCTACCTGTTAAGACCTCCACTAAAATCCCTTATGTGAAAATTATCAAAACTATATATTTAAATCATAACAACTGTGCCGCAAAATTTGACCTAAGAGACCATATCCCTTGATTTAATATACTTTATATTGGCATATAAAAGTCAGATTTTAAATATCTACTGCTCAAATTACAACCTAATTGAAAATACATTTTCAGTTTTAGAATGATAGATCATATATAGAATCCAGATGCTGGATCTAATAACCTAAAATTTCATGAATCTCTCACCTAAAATCACTTGGACTAAAATCAAATTCAATGTAAGAAGGAAATGTATAAGGAGAAGGGCTAACAGCTCTCACATGTAGGATGTTTTGGCAAAGAAATTACATACACTCTTTACTTTTTTTCAGTCTTGAAAATAGCTTTCTTTTTTGTCTTCTTGAATATGCCTAAGTAAGAAAACCATAGATTTGCTTCCAAGTTATTTCCAGTGCCTATTAAACTTAGGGTCTTATCGATAACAAACTAATCCGTAGGGCTACAGCTTGGACCTACTTGGGAAGCAGATGTGTCATCATCTTTCCCATTAGAGTATTTTCATAAATATTACCTCTATCTTTGCCATGTGTGTGGGGAAAAGTGTAATGACATTCTCCTAGAAATGATTTTAAGATTCTTGGCAATGATTAAATATGTCCCAAAATACATGTGTGACTGAGACAGATGAATCCCTGCTGGTGTCTTGGAATAACTACCTGAAACATGAATGCTGGAAGGCCAGTGATTGACAAGATGGGAAGAAAATAAATTCTACTAACATATATAAACTGGACCCGAAGCATAGTTAGTGGTTAAATTATCACTATTACTAAATGTGTCTATGTGAATAAGAAGTGGTGCTTAGATGGAGAATGGAAGGAAAAGGTGAGAATGGTTACATTCGAGCAAGCTAAATTCATTCATGAAAGGTTATCTATTAAAAACCCCTACTGTGGGAGCGCCGTAAACGAAGTGTGTCTGACTCCAGGAAAAGTGTTCTTCCATCGTATGATATCCTTGTGAATCGGCTGAAGGCGAACAGGCTGGTGGCGAGTTTTACTAGTCCTGGTTGACTTAGACTCTATGCGCTGAAGAGCCTGGTCTCCATCTGGTCAAGGTCTCCAAGAGTGCATAGAGCTCTCCCCTTGGTGTGGACGTGTTCTGTGGTCGTGACGATTAAATCCACAGAGAGACACAGACAAGGGATGAAGGAGTCAGGGGCCAGGAAACCAGGAGCACGTGCCGTCTGCCATGACAGCTTGTGCAGACCTCGGTGCCTCCTAGCAGCAGGATCCTGGATGTCAACAGTTCACATTTTAGTTCTTGCCTCACCTCCACACAAAATGAGGAAGTTTGCCGAAGGTTAATTACAAGGATCTCTACCGTTTAAATTCTGTGGTTCTAATATCTAACACTGTGCCTTTTTCCTAGCAGGCAGTTAATCCATTTTATTTTTATTGTGCCATTGTGTGCCTATGTCAGTAAGAAACCTAAAGGGAACCTAAAATTGGAAGCAGAACTTATGTCCAGGTATTAAAACCTTATTCCTCAGTTTTTCTGTTTAATTTTATAAGAATTTGTTAGGATGGCTGTAGATTTTATTTAGATAAGTGGTCAAGATGAGTTATATAAAGGACAATATTAGTATCCAGGGCCCTATGGTTTCCTGTGCATTCATTGCAACAAGAAATATAAATGGCAAATTTCCTGTGGCTGCTTTTATTCATAGTAGCAACAGCAGCAACAACCTCCGGGAAAGAAAGAATTCTTTTTCAGATTTAGCCTATAAACTAAACCTGTTACTCTTGAAGAGCGGCCACTAAAACAAGCTGGAGCAAGCGTTTTCGCACATATTTCCTTCTCTGTGATTTAATATTTACATCGCATTTATGTAGTGAGCTGGACTTTTGCTGGACCTTTGTCTTCCTTTCGTTACTGTGGCATAGCGGTCAGAGTGACAAAGGATGTGTGCTCTTCTCTAAAAGCGAGCTCCTTGCAAGGCAGCATAGTCAGTGCACAGTCATCGATCAACAGCTGAAAGGCTGGCTCTGTGCATGGACTGGAGCATTTCTGACTCTCTCCTTATAATCAGCCTATCTCTTACACTACCTTTATTGCACTAAAAGACTAAAGAACCCAGATGCCAGAGACGTCCGACATTAATATGTCGTGGGAATGTGAGACACAACGCACTGGACTCCCTGTCTTCATGTCCCTCTCTCATCTCTCTACCTCCACAATCCAGGCCCTCAGATTTCTACGGATTCTTCCCCAAGTAGTTTGTTAATAATATCCTAATTGTTATTCATATTATTATCAATCGTAACACCTTTAAACATTCATGTTTTCTCCCTTCTTTTTAAAATATATGTTTTCATGTAAGAATTAACCAAACTTCTTAATACTAAATTTTGTAGGGGAATAAAAGTGAAGAACTAAAAAATAGCTTTTTTGGTTTCTGACATGAATCAAAATTTGTCTTCTCTAAAAAGGAAAAAAAATATGGTAAGAATTTTATATAGAAATTCATGATTATTTGACCCATTATTTCTCATTCATATATTTTAAGAAAAGCTTCTGTTTGAGCTAATGAATCAGAGAATGCCATTATAAGGCAATGCCTGACTTGTATGTTTCTGAAATTAGATCAATATTTCAACCTAACAGAGAAAGATGAAAAATTATGCTGTTGGTTCTTTGAAAACTTCACTGTTTGAAGGAAAAGAACTAAAAACAAAACAAAACCATACAACACCTAAGACTTCTGATGGGTTGAATAATATTGCCAATGCATGGAAACAACGAAGCTTAAAAAGAACAAGAGCCACTCATTCACTCTACCTGAATTCATGTACTCGGTCCCATGCTACAGCCTCCACTCGGGGAGCTTCCCCACCCCTGTCGGACATGGATTCCAAAAGCACTTTCTCTGAACCCTTTGATCAAATATTCTCCCTGTTCTGTGTGCCTGGCAGAGGATGGAAACCAGTATGAAGAACTGAAGAAAGTTTCTATATGTTTCTTTCTGGTTTACCAGTCGTGCTTGAGATGTGGAAGTGTTTATTTCTTTTTCTTAACAAAGATAAGCACTATAAGGAGGAAACGGCTACAATCCTTGAATGCTTAACAGTCACTTAAAAAGTTTTCTCTGTGGGCTACCCATCAATATTTCTCCTATAATTACAGATTTAGGGAAGATAGAAGCAGGTTTAGGCATCACAGATTTCTGCCTGGAAAATGAGTCTTAGCGTTCAGAATCTCTCATGATTGCCATAATTCCCCATGCTTCGGGATAGACCACACAGGGTGTATGGTGGGGAACATGGGTACACACAACTGATAATTATATCAATTGGAGTAGCTTTTATAAAATCTATAAAGACAGGTTAGATTTAATAGCGCTCTTCCACTGGTTTTATTTTTAAGCTTAGATCCACCTGAAGTTTATTTGTCTGAGTTGTAGGATTCAACTTCAGGTTTCTTTTCTAAATGCTTTCTTGTGGTCCTCACCATTGTTTTTTGAAAAAATCCATCTTTGCCAACAATAACTCAGAACATCACCATTACTATCATCTAACATTTTCAAATGTACTTGGGACTCAATAAAGACTTTCAATTCCATTGTGATAATATATCAGACTTCTGACTATTCATACATTATTATCACAGTGATTAAACTAATGAAGCTCAGATAGACAATTGTTAGATAGATAGACAGACAGACAGATAACTAACAAGGCAACCCCCCATAGCATCTATTCTTTTTTCCACAAAATTTTCTCAACTATACTTGCTTCTTTATTTTTACATTAAAATGCACAATCATTTTTCTATTTAAGATTATTTTATTTATAAGATTGGATAAATTTTTATTAAATTTG